CTCTCTCTCTCTCTCTCTCTCTCTTTCTCTTTCTCTCCCTCCCTCCCTCTCTCTCTCTCTTTCTGTCTCTCTTAGTTCTTAGTAAACGAGTTTCCTCCCGGGGACTTCGAGAGAGTCCCGTAGTCCGGTGTATTCGCTGTACACTTTCCATCCAGGTCCCCAGGTCCAGTGATATTTTGTTGCTCTGTTTTTCGCAGAGCAGGTGACTCCGAGCGCGGATTTGTGGAAGGTTTAGGGTTGATACATGATGTGTGATGTCAACGTCCAAGTTCATATGTCCCTGTAGCACGGAAGTCAAAGAGCAGTAGTAGAAAAGTCCGAATTCCTGCAAAACATGTCGTATGGTGACGTTTCTGGTACGACGAACTTCCAAATCTCCTTTGATACTTGATAGTTTTGTATCATAGTAGGAAACTTTCCGTTGGTCCCACAGTTCCCTCTCACCGGACTTCTTAGCAGGGGTTTGAAGTTTCAGCTGTTGTTCTCTGTAATCAAGGGCAAGATCTCTATTCAAGAAACAGGTTCCCCTTCAAGGATTCCCAGATTTTCTTTTTTTGGGTAGGGGAAAAGAGAAGCCATCCATTGTTTGTTTTATTTAGGCTACATACAGCAAGTTCGCTGCGGATGGTGGGGCGTGTGAGTGAGGCTAGGTTTGGCGCGAGAAAAACGGGCTGGCGCCACGCCAAACCCTTTGTCCTGTTTGGAAAATGAAGCTCAGAAATGTTTTGATACTAAGCAACCGTCCATAGTCACCTTCTAGCCGTACTTGTCCTATGTTCCACTGGGAGTGGGTTACCAGTCTTAATCACCGATATTTCAGCCGTTGTCCGCTGAGGAGTCATCTCGCTTCGAAGATCTCTCCAAGGTTTATTTTGAAGACTTCTACGCGGTGCCATACGTGCTACGTCCAGGATCGAAAGGTCAGCCACAACCAGCATCTCGCTCCGATCAGCTGTTTGGATTTGAAGACGACCCCACAGCGAAGCGAGAAGTACCTACACCAACAGACGTCAGTGAAGTTACTCTGAGTTCTTTCATGCGATGAAGTAAGTATCGTTAGGATTTTAGGAAGATCTAGCCGAGCTACTGGAAGACGTGTCCAAGGAAGGAGGACAACTCGATAGACTTACATGTGGTGGAGGGGCATGCCCACCTTCTGATCTGGAACCGTTGCCATTGGTGAATAACGTCAGCCTTTCGGAGGGTATCGTATTTACAGCACAAAACGGTGAGATTTGTGGTTTCTCAATGTACGGTTTAAAAGGTTCACTCTGCAATTACCTGAGATGAATCCTTTTTTGGCGCGAGGTGGGCAGAATAGCAGCCGTAGGAGTGTAGCACCCCCGCCCCTTGAATTTGCTCATCATGGAGTTGATGGCTTATGATAGCTTGTGGTCAAAGCACGTCCTGCCATTGTGGAAAATTTTTAAATGCCGGCTGCCCCCTCAGAATGTCCTCTTCTGGTATTTCTTCACCCATTCGCCTAGAAATCTCCTAAATTCTCTCACTTCCCTACCGGGTTGTTCCGGATACTCCAGAATGTCCAGTACAGCGGGGACAGGAAGGAGTGGAGCACATTGATACTGGGAAATACCAAGGAAAGTTTCAACAACCGGGAAAGTATATTCGAATGCTAATCCCATAGCCCTCCTCCCCAAACACCCTCCACTCCCCCTCCTTGGAATCCTCAACCATGGCGATCGTGCCTCGGGCGTCCTCTGGTCCACTTCACTGTTTTGGGTAACCTAAGCTCACGCACATAACCGTACGACGCAATCAGGAGCCAAACCGATATTCCAACAACGGTCGTATCAAATGCCCTATACGTCAAAATCAATCATGCAAAGCTTACTCAATTATAGACCAGTAAATGAAGCACAAAAACTAACCGCTACTGTGTGAGTGTCTATACAAAAGGCCCTATAGTGATCACATGCATATGCACACGATAGCGTTACCTCAGCGCCAGAACCTGCGACATGTTACTCTGCCATACTCATAGGCCGCATTCGTAAACGGCGACTTCGAACAAATGACGAACTGGGAGAAATTCAGAATCTGTAGAAGTAATAGTAAGTATTCAGAAGTAAGAAAGTTCACATTTCGATAATGACGAATCGAAGGACATGTCGAAAATGCAGATCTGGCATAAATTCGAGAACGTTCCGGGATTCCCCCTCTTTCGAAGCTCCAAAGAGGGAGGGGCAAACGATCGATCCATATGTCGGTTTAGTGGTCGATATTGGCATTTCTACAGATTCTGCATTTCTCCCAAATACAGATTTGTCCTTTCTTTGAATCGATACGATACGTGTACATTCTTCTTTCTGCAGATTCCGCACCTCTTCAGGGTCGTCGTGTATAAACGCGACCTTATAAAGAGCACAAGGAGCTTTTTCCGTTATAGTTAGCCCCCCTCCCGTTCAATCAAGCGTACAGTGTGTCTTTAAACGAATAAAACTGGTAACACGTAGAGTTTTGCAGTGTCGGAGATGTCGATGATGCAAGAACAACGTCAAGCAGCGATGGCATCGATTTTGACGCCACCCGCGCCAGCGACACTATACAATGAAACGTCGATGCCGAATATGTGGATGCAGCAAGCTGAAATAACTCCCAGTGACAGTAAGTTTTTCTGGTTATTAGAGGTTATCAGTCTGCTCCCAGAATCAGTGCAGAATCAGTGGTCACTGATGCAAAAAGCCTCACATGTGACTGATAGGCCGACACTTGAAGGAATATATGTCAGTTACTTGATAAAACCTCTGATTTGTGGCTTGTACTTCACGCCTTCCTGTTTCAAGTTTTCCATCTTTAGAAAAAAGCGTCCTTTTGCTGTAAGAAGCGTTCCATGGGAGATGGGAGAATACACGTGGTGTAGGGTGAGGTTTGGTCCTATTAAAGTGGTGTGAGCCGCACGAAAAGCGACCACTAATGTAGTTGCGCTTGATCAGGGTCATAATATCGAGTGCAGTTTGAGAAACTCTTATTGCCGCAGTAGCCGTTATGAATGGTGCCACGTGCGCGGAATTCGCACCAGGGTCGGATTCACTTAAGGGGGGGGGGGGGCTGCAGTGTGTCGAGTCTACTAGCTGAGAGGTATTCTCACAGTTTCGGCGCGTCACCGCAGCGTATGTATCCCGTACTGTTCACTGTCTCGTTCGGTGCATATACAGGGACGTGTTAGAGAGGGGGGGGGGAGGCAGTGGGGCTTTCCGCGGCGCTGGTCCAGTTTTCACCAGTTGTTGTCCCTTGCCTCCTTCAATAGTTGGTGGAGAACAGGCTAGCGCTGCGCCAGACCCATCCACATGGAGCGCCCCAGCACCCATAGCGAACAGAACTGTACAGCGTCATCAGCGGGTTCACGTCTTTGTGGTCACCAGACCCAAGCGCTTATACATTTCGCCCCCCTTAAGTCACCGGACCCTACCCCCCTCCCATTCCGAAATCACCCGTCTGCTTAATCAGACCAACCTTGGTCCTTCTCCCCATCTCTAAGTGAATATGCTGGTGTGATTTAATTTCTTAAAAACCTTCGTCTTCAAAAGCGTTCTTGCCCAATCCAAACACTGCCGGTACTCTTTCAGTCTATCCCAATAATGGCTACATGACATTCCAAAATGACACAGGAGTGCCGGTAGTGTCCACGGGAAGCCAATATGATCACCAGTATCACACAAACCTTCAGAGGAATCGCCATGATGAGGTAAATTTAACTTTGTTTGTTTGTTCACGCTGGCAAGGCACACATATACATCATCGCTGAGAAATCCTTGGCGAGGGTTGGGGGTGGAGGAGTAATTTGAATTATTCCTCATTGCGATAATGTGTCCTGTACGTTCAGTGGATCTTGAGGCGTGTCTAGGGACTGGGTTTGGTAAGGCGCCAACACTTTTTCCACCAATCATTGTCGCTTGCTCGCCTCAACAGTTGGTGGGGAACGTGTTGGTGCCGACACGCCTCAGCACTCCCAGCGAACTCAGCTACACTCCACATCTCAGACGGGGGAGGAAGTGATTATTGCTATTGAATTCGAAAGTACTGATCAACTGTTGCAGAGCAATATCGGTCAAACTGCACCCATTTATGATCCATACTACTCGGCAAGGACTACGTCATTCAGCAAGTGAGTAGCGAAATATGGACGATAAAAAGAAGTAGTAAAAAATATGGATAAATCTTATTTTTGATGTTTAGCGAGTCATCGTCAGTATGCTCATCTTCATCCACTGCTGCTTCACCACATTATCACAGTGAGGTCGAGAACTACAGCCCACATGCGAGCAGGTAATAGTTTGGTTTTATATGTAATTTTTTAGGCGTAACTCGGCTTGGTGGGGGCATTTTGCTGGTTCCAATCAACCATCCTGATACCTCCTGTAGAGACCTGTAAATTCCTGAGAAGCTGTGCAGTAGCATGAGCATTGTTTATTTTCGACAAGGGTTTACAGGTGTTACCAAGGCGTGACGTGAATTTAGGGCCCTTGCAGAAGAAAGGAACGAAAGTGCAAAATGCCCCCCCCAAGCCGAACAGCACCTTTTTATCATTTCTTTTGGTATCACTAATAATTGTGCTTACATTGTTGATTTCAGATATTATGGCAAACTAGCGCCAAGAGAGGTGGACGAGACGAACATGTATTCGCGATCCGTTTGCGGGTAGGTGTTTCAGGGACTGCTAACAATACAATCGTAATTTGTCGCGTCGTCGCGCGCGGCGTGTCGCGCGCCCTTGCGCAGCGGTTCCCAGGCGTGTATTAGTTTATCGATTTGTGCGGCGAGATTCATGTGGGTTCAAGCAGTGATAAGTTTCATGCCGCGCGATATCGAATTTCCCATCGCGCAAATTGAAACGGCTAGGCCAGACCACTCGTATATCGGGGCACGGTGTCTATTGCCACAGCCGGCAGCGCGGCGTATCACGATTGTCTTGTCACTACCCGAATTTCAGCCCTTCTCCCACTGAAACTTGGTGTGCCCTATGAAATTTTCAATCATCTTCAGGTCAACTGGTGATAATGGTATAACGGCGGCTAGCAATCTCCCAAGCATGCCGCGACGTCGTGGACGTCAGTCGAAGGACGAGCAACTGGCGGCTGCCAATCGCCTACCACTATCGGCTCGTGAAATTTCCGAGATGACCCTTGGGGAACTGCACAAAGTGCTGAAGAACGAGAGCCTTACTGAATATCAGAAGCAGCTGATTCGCAAAATTCGCCGAAGAGGTGAGTCCAAAGGGTTTTGTTGATTTGTCGATCAGTAGGAAAACGATGATCTTCTTTGTTTTCTAGGGAAGAACAAGGTCGCTGCACGCACATGCCGTGAACGTCGCGGTGAACGTCAGCGATCGACTAATGGAGCAGAAACGTCATGGAATGTTCCTGTGAGTGCTTGACTGCATTAATAAATGGACGTGACAGCGCTTTGGCGGTTTGGCGACGGGGGTGGGGCATTTTGCACTTCAACGACTTCCCATCGACGTGTCGACCCATCTAGACAGCCTCTTCTCGAGTTGACAGGTTTTACCATGATGGCTTGACGAGCTTGCTCCAGCTTCACAAGAGTTCACAGGTTTCACCAGAGTGAGACTTGTAAACCAGAACTAGTGAAGCAACGAAAGTGCAAAATGCCCCCCCCCCCGTCGGCAAACTGCGCCTGACGTGATATCTCTTCACCGTGATATCAGAGCCCCGTCACCCGGGACGAAAAACCAAGGAAATTTTGTTCCAAGTGAGGGAAGACAATAATTTGCTGATCGGACTCCAGTCCGCTGATCTGAATCATCTTTCGAATGTGGGCGGAGCTTCTGTGAAGTGGGCGGGACTTTCAGTAGCGTTCGGGGCTACCTGTTGCTGCCTAAAAAGGGGAAAATTTTGTGGAGAAGGTTGAAAGTCCGCCGAAAGACGCAGAAGTGGGGGTGGCTAAACGGGACGCGCTTATTAGCGCCAGCGTGTAGGTCGCGAAAATACGGAAGAGATGAGAAAAAGCGCGACGAGAAGGAAGATTCTTAAAAGCATTTTTGGAAAGTGATGAAGCGCGCTGAAAAGTGGGCGCAGTGTTGGGGCGCGAGGCGTCACTAATGGTACCTGTGGTGTAATCCTACTGTAACGCGAGCTGCGTCGATGTAAGGCGTATCCCTAATTTCTTTGAAAAGTGTTCATGTTTGATTTGAAAAGTCTTTTTGAAATGAAAAGGCATAGTAATTTTCAAGATTTTTTTTTTTTTTTTTTTTTTTTTTTTTTTTTTTTTTTTTTTTTTTTTTTTTTTTTTTTTTTTTTTTTTTTTTTTTTTTTTTTTTTTTTTTTTTTTTTTTTTTAGACACACCCACCCGAGCCACCATACCAGATCCATCTGTGAAACCGGAAGATTCGTTAGACAAGACAGACTTCTGAATTGCCCATGCTGTTCATTTTCTGAATCAGTTTTGTCTCATTGTATATGTATTTCTTCATTATTTGTTATATCCACAGGATGCCTTTTCGATTCAGATTATTAATCATTTTTTTTATTTGAAGAAAATACGAGATGCGACTGCTGTTTCTTTCTTTTGTTTTTTACGAACTATTCTGTATACACGCACACCATATCCCGAAGATGGAGGGGGCGTGACTGCGTACTTTATTTGAACATGGCGTAGGATGCGTTCCTCGTGAGATATTACCATTCAAGAAGCTGTCATCTTGCCCTGCCTTGTGCTGGACAATGACATGACTGCAGGTGTTCTAAAACAGCTGTATATCAGCCGAACCGTATCCGCCGTCACGTTCAAATAAGCACACAGCCACGCCCACTCCATGTTCGGGATATGGGGTGTCCCTACGCGCATCTCGTATTTTCATTCATTTTCATGAGTTGAAGCTGTTTTTTGAGTTTTTTTTTGATGTTTTCATGGCGATAATCATTATTTATACCTCTTCATTTGTATCCCCATGCACGATGTGGTATCCTCTGAAATTTCTCTTGAACCGTAGATCGTGGCTTTTTTGAGAGCTTAATTGTAGATTTTTTGGTTCACTTTCTCTTTAGAATTATCCCACGCGTGCAAAAGTTCTGTGTTAGTTGTCCTGATTTCATATTAGTATCCTACATTTAGTGATTTTTGTTCCATACGGTCATCAGTACTATTCTTGTACGTTCTAATGGGCAATGACGACTGTGTTGCGTAGCGTAGTGAAGCGGGTATTTAATAATCCATCCGTAATAACTTGACTTTTTTTCGTGTATCAGAAGTTTCTGAATGTTTCTTCCTTTGCTTATGAAGTTTACATGCATGTAGTTCGGCAATGGTCATTGTTTTGTTTGGTTTGCATCCACTTCTTTTTAGCTATTTTGTTCATATAATCTTTTATTCCTTAGAGTTGAAGTTGTGGAGAATGTGAAGCATAAAATTATTATAAGACCTGCTTTATTTGTCCGCTTAAAAGGAGCACAGTCATGGTCCCTTATAAGGCGTTGAAAGAACGTGATTGGAGCGCAGCCAGGGCAGTCTTTTCCACCAGTTGTAACGAGTGGGTGACGTCATTGGTGAAAAAGCGCTCTGGCTGCGCTCTAGTCCATGCCCCCTCACATGCAGACCTTTTGCAGAATGCATGACTGTATGCAGGATGTCCTACGAATATGGTAACAGAATAATTGTGACACAAAAGCAGTAGTTTAAGCTTAACCACGGTGCCCATATGGACGTATTCACACGTCATATCCCGGAGGTGGAGGAGGTGTGACTGACCGTTTGGTGGCAGGCGTTTTTCGTTTCTGGCAGATCTCCTTTTGTCATTTGTCTTGGTGGTCCTCCATTACTAGTGTTCGCCTTACAATTTACAATTACAATTGCAATTTGTCGCTCGAGCAGGTCTTGAGTTATGCCAAATGTCTGCGCTCTTGTCTGCG